TTATTATTATTATTATTATTATTATTATTATTATTTAACTAGGGCTGGCTACAGAGAGCACACAAGTCATAACTGTGTTATCTGGTCTCCCACAAGGTGCCATTCTATCCTCAATGGTCTTTAGTATTTACATGAAGCTCCTGGGAATGATCATCTGTAGGCATGGGGTGTGGCATTATCATTATGCTGATGACACCCAAATATATTTCTCCATGCCTTCATAAACAGATTCAGCAAAAGGTACCGTGTCTCCTCTGAATGAATGTCTGGAGGAGGTAAAGGGCTGGATGAGGAAAAACAAATTGAAACTGAATACAGACAAAACAGAGCTGCTTTCCATCAAAAGTCCTTGGGAGTGCTCCTGAATCTGTCTCTCCAAATGTCAGCCCAGGTAGATGCAATGCTCAGGAGTGCTGACTACCAGCTTCGGCTGATACACCACTGGTAACCTCAATGTTGGAATTCTGTAATGAGCATTACATTGGGCTATATTTGTACAAAGTGCAGATACTCCAGTTGCTTTGAAATACAGCAGCCTGATTGGTTACAGGCACATTCCAGGACTGAACATATCACACATATCCTAAAGCCACTCCACTGACTGCCAACTAGTTTCTGGGCAAAGTACAAAGTGTTGGGGTTTTGACCTTTAAGTCCCTACATGGTTTTGGTCCAGGTTACCTACAGGATCGCTTTCTCCTTTACAATCCGCCCCAAGCACTTAAGTCCTCAAGGAGGTGTCTGCTCCAGCCTGCCAGAACTGATTGGCAACTGCCATCCAGAGGGCCTTTTAATTGGCCGCCCCAAGACTGTGGAATGACCTGTCAGAAGAGCTCTGACAGCTAGATCAGCTGTTGGAATTTAAGACACAAGTAAAGACCTGAAACACTGGATCATTTTTAGAATTTGTAAACAGATTAGATTAACTACAAGCATAATGGAGCTTTACCCAGAGATAACACGATCCCTAAATTTTCCTCCACGACTTGCTGGTGCAAGGCTTTCTGGCTTGGATCCAAGAGGGCCCACTCCTCCTCTGAGAAATCCACAGACACATCTTCAAAAGTCACCTGAAGGGAAAAAAATATGTTATCTGCGAGGAGAAAAAGCTACCCAGGTTGTAGAATAATCCCAAGCCCTTTGTGATTTACATCTTTCAATAAGTAATTCATTGAAAACAACTTGTATGGAAGGAATGTAGAAGAAAGAGATTCATTTAGAGTCAGGGCAATATTCAAGGGAGGGGCCTGGGCTTCCCCTCCCTTCCAGGGATCCCGCTGCCTACCTGATCTGGTTCCACAGAATCTCCTCTTAGGAAAGAATCAGGAAAAGTTGTGCTACTGTCATTTGGCCATGTTTCACTGTCTGTGAAAGAGAGGAATGACATCAGGGAGCGTGAGATTGGTCCCTTTTCCAGGCTGCACCACAGTTACTTCCCTCGGAAGCCTGCCACCCTCCCCTTGCCCCTTGGCCCTCTTTCAAACTCTCTCCTTGGATTTGGGTCCCAGGTCTTTTATGTGGACTATTTTGTTTTAGGGGTGTTGCAACCTAATCCCAGCAAATATAGAGGGTTGACTGTATTAGTTTCTGTATTTGTGTCAGTTTAGCAAAGAGCATATTCATCATCACAAACATCCAGAGAGAAGCAAAGGAAATGAAGTAACTTTGAAAGTGGCACAAATAAATATTGTAAAGAAATGTCTTCTTAATCTCCCAGGCTCCCCACTTTTTTTTTCAGTCCACACAGCTCAGACATTTCAGGTCTACTCAAAAGGAGGTGAACAAGCAAGAAGGACCAATGCCCATCCCTTACCAACTGTAATATATTCTCCGTCTTCTCCAATCTGGACGACCCAAATGTCTGAATCCTCCACCTGACTGGTCTCATCTGGAAAAGGGTCCTCCACCTGAACAAGCAGCACAGATCACAAGGGAAAAGACAGATTAGAAAAGGAGGGAGGACTCTCTTTCTGCAACCTGTTCCAGACTGCTGGGATTGTGGTTGGGATCCAAGACTGGTTTCCTTCATTCTGTAGAAGAATCTGCCTTTCCTTGATTTTGGGGTGGGAATTCTGCCTGCATTTGGGCATTGCAGTCTGATTCAGGATTCAGTTACTGCTAAGATGAAGTAAGTACTTTACGTAATCCTGGGCTTGTAATTTGGGGCTACTCTAGAGGGGCTCTCGTGCTGAGTAACCTAAGTCTGTATAGCTGTGCTTTCAGGTCCCGGTTGAGTTATCTCTTAACTGCAAATAACATAGAGTTTCTTAGGGAAAGAATATTCAGAAGTGGTTCAGGCAGTTGCTTCCTCTGAAATACACACCACTGGAATTCCCAATACATTCCGTTTAATCCTCAAAGTTTACCTTCCTATAACTTCAATACCTGGTTATCCCACGCTGGGGAACGGAGATGACTCCCCACTCCTCTCCGTGAGAGCCCTTGGGTGATGCAAATGGGGCTGTCGTGGCACCTCATGTCTCTTTTCGAGGCTGAACACACCTGGGTCTTTCTTTCCTAAGGCTTCTCTGAAATTGTTCTAACTGGTTTACATTATTCTTAAAATTAGCTACCTGACACTAAATGCAATAATCCTGGCCTGAGGGGTACAGAAGAGTGTCACATTATCCTGCAAAAGAATTATTCTTGGTTCCTTGAAATTACAAGAGGAACCTCTCTCACACACACACCTGAGGCTGCTCCTGCTTCCTCT